AAGAATACTCTATTCCGCAAAGCTCTCCTTCCTCTTTGAAGAAAGAATATGGACCTTCCCAGACAAACAGAAACTCCGGAATTTCATTGCAACTAAACCCCCACTCCAAAAAATACTACAAGGAGTTCTAAAGCCAGAACCTCAGAGCGACGAATAACAATGAAAGAAGGCAAAAAAAAAAAAAAGTTATTAAAAAATAAATAAATAAAATCAAGGAAAGACAACACAATGGCAAATACAGATGTTAACATATCAATATTAACTCTAAATGTAAATGGACTAAACTCTTCAATAAAAAGACACAGAGTTGCAGCCTGGATTAAGAAACAAAACCCAACCTTTTGCTGTCTCCAGGAACACATTTAGCTACAAAAGATAAAAATAGGCTCAAAGTTAAAGGATGGAAAAACAATCCTACAAGCAATGGACCAAAAAAGAAAGCAGGAACAGCTATACTTATATCAGATAAAACAGATTTCAAACTCAAAAAGATAAAAAGAGACCCCAATGGTCACTACATTATGATCAAGGGGACAATACTTCAAGAAGAAATAACACTCATAACATATACTCACCAAACGAAGGAGCACCAAAATATATCAGACAACTGTTGTCCTCTCTGAAAACAGACATCAGAGAAAACACATACGTAGTGGGAGACTTCAACACACCACTATCAACAATGGATAGATCAACAAGACAAAAAATAAGTAAAGAAACCAAAGCTCTAAATAAAGACCTAGAGCAATTGGGTTAACAGACATCTATAGAACACTAAACCCCAAAAAAAGAGTACACATTTTTCTCAAGCGCACACGGATCATTCTCCAGGATCGATCACATACTGGGGCACAAGACAAACATCAACAGATACACCAAGATTGAAATCATATCAACCATCTTTCTGACCATGAAGGCATCAAACTAGAAATAAACCATAAAAAGAAGGCAAGGATCTTTGCTACCTCATGGAGATTAAAAACCACACTACTGGAAGACCATTGGACTAATGAGGAGATCAAAGAAGAAATTAAAAATTTTTGAATTGAACGACAAGGAGGACACCAATATCCTAAATGTATGGGATGCAGCAAAAGCAGTAATAAGAGGAAAATATATAGCAATAGAAGCTCACATCAAGAAACAAGAAAGAACGCAAAGAAACAACCTAATCTCGAAGCTCAAAGATCTAGAAAAAGAACAACAAGAAAACCCCAAAACCAGTAGAAGAAAAGAAATAATAAAAACCAAAGCAGAAATAAATGAAATTGAAACTAAAAAAACAATCCAAAAGATCAATGAAACCAAGAGCTGGTTCTTTGAAAAAATCAATAAAATAGACAAACCCCTAGCCAGGCTCACAAAGGAAAAAAGGGAGAAAGCACAAATAAACAGGATCATCAATGAAAGAGGAGAAATCACAACGGACACAGCAGAAATCAAAAGAATAATCAGTAACTACTATGAACAGTTATATGGAAACAAGTTTAACAATCTAGAGGAGATGGACAAATTCCTACAACTCTACAATCACCCAAAGCTAGATAAAGAAGAAATAGAACACCTAAACAGACCAATTACAATTAGCGAAATTGAAATGGTAATCAAAAACCTCCCCAAAAACAAAAGCCCAGACCTGATGGATTTACAAATGAATTCTACCAAACATTCAGAGACGAATTAGTGCCTATCCTTCACAAACTCTTCCAAAAAATTGAGAAGGAAGGGACAATACCAAACACGTTCTATGAAGCCAACATTACACTAATACCAAAACCGAACAAGGACAACACAAAAAAGGAAAACTACAGGCCAATCTCCCTAATGAACACTGATGCAAAAATCCTCAATAAAATTTTAGCTATCAGAATCCAACAATGTATCCATAAGATAATTCACCACGACCAAGTTGGATTCATTCCAGGGGCACAAGGATGGTTTAACATCCGAAAATCAATCAACGTTATCCAACACATCAACAAAAAGAAATATAAAAACCATATGATAATATCAATAGATGCTGAGAAAGCTTTCGACAAAGTGCAACACCCATTCATGATAAAAGCCCTTGAAGTTCTTGGGATACAAGGAACATACCTCAACATCATAAAGGCCATCTATGACAAGCCAACAGCCAGTATCATTCTCAATGGTGAAAAGCTGAAAGCAATTCCATTAAGATCTGGAACAAGACAAGGATGTCCACTCTCACCATTGCTTTTCAATATAATACTGGAAGTCCTAGCCAGGGCAATAAGACAAGAGAAAGACATCCAAGGAATCCAAATAGGAAAAGAAGAAGTCAAACTATCACTATTTGCAGACGATATGATATTATACATAGAGAACCCCAAAAACTCCACAGAAAAGCTAATTCAACTCATCAATCAGTTCAGTAAAGTGGCAGGATACAAAATCAACACGCAAAAGTCAGTAGCCTTCCTATACACAAACAATAAATCTGAAGAAGAAGAAATCGAAAAGACCATCCCTTTTGTTATTGAAACAAAAAAAATCAAATATTTGGGAATAAATCTAACAAAAGAGGTAAAGGACCTATACAAAGAAAACTATAAAACACTGTTAAAAGAAATAGAAGAAGACACAAAGAAATGGAGAGACATCCCCTGCTCATGGATTGGAAGAATAAACATTATTAAAATGGCCATCCTTCCAAAAGCAATATACAGATTCAATGCTATTCCAATCAAAATTTCAATGTCATTCTTCAAAGACATAGAAAAATTATTGATGAAATTCATATGGAATCACAAAAAACCCCGAATAGCCAAAGCTCTCCTGAAAAAAAAAAGAAGGGAATGGAGGCATCAGACTCCCAGACTTCAAACTATACTACAAAGCCATAATCATCAAAACTGCATGGTATTGGAACAAGAACAGACATACAGACCAATGGAATCGAATAGAAAATCCAGAAATAAACCCACAGATTTATGGTCAACTAATCTTTGACAAAGGAGCAAAGACTATGCATTGGAGCAAAGAAAGTTTGTTCAATAAATGGTGCTGGGAAAACTGGGTCGCTACATGCAAAAGAATGAAGCTTGACCACCACCTCACACCATACACAAAAATCAACTCAAAATGGATTAAAGAACTAGACATAAGACCTGAAACCATAAATATATAGAAGGAAATATAGGCGAAACACTACGTGATTTGCACATCAAAGACATCTTTACAGACACATCACCCAAAGCAGTGATAGTGAAGGCAAAGATAAACAGCTGGGACTATATCAAATTAAAGAGCTTTTGCACAGCAAAAGAGACAATAACAAAAACAAAGAGAAACCCCACCAACTGGGAGAACATTTTGCACCCAACACTAATGATAAAGGACTGATCACAAAAATCTGCAAAGAGCTGATGAGACTCAACAACAACAAAGAAAATAATCCAGTCAAAAAATGGGCAGAAGAGCTTAAAAGAAACTTCTCTGAAGAGGAAATGCAAATGGCCAACAGGCATATGAAAAAATGTTCAACATCACTTGTCATCAGGGAAATGCAAATCAAAACTACCATGAGATACCATCTTACACCAGTGAGAATGGCACATATTAAAAAAACTAGCAACAACAAATGTTGGCGAGGGTGTGGAGAAAAAGGAACTCTTCTGCACTGTTGGTGGGAGTGCAAACTGGTCCAACCACTGTGGAAAGCTGTGTGGAGATTTCTGGACCTACTAAACATAGAGCTTCCATATGACCCAGCAATTCCACTCCTAGGTATTTACCCAAAGGACACAGAAACATCAATTCCAAAGAACACCTGCACCCCTATGGTTTATAGCAGCACTGTTTACAATAGCTAAGCTTTGGAAACAACCCAAATGCCCAAAATAGATGACTGGATCAAGAAGATGTGGTACATATATACCATGGAATATTACTCAGCATTCAAAAAAGATAAACACATGCAATTTGCTGCAACATGGATGGCGCTGGAAGGGATCATGCTCAGCGAAATAAGCCAAAAAGAAAAAGAAAAATACCGGATGGTCTCACTCATAGCAGGAATCTAGAAAACTTAAATAATGGACCAGGAAAATGAAAAACTATAAGAAAGTGAAAATCAAAATCAACAAAAAACTATGAACCAGAGACACTTTTAGGGGGGCGGGGCGGGAGGGGAGGGATTGGGGTCAGAATGGGGGCGGCAATTGTATGGGAATATAACAATAAAATTTATAAAAAAAAAAAAAAAAAAAAATAAAAAAAAATAAAAAAGGAAGAAATCTCAGTATTCGTGATACAATGGATGGAGCTGGAGGGGTGATACCAAGTGAAATAAGTCAGAAGATAATGTCACTCATTATGTGGAATATAAAAAAACAAAGCAAAAGAATAGACAGAGCTAAACCAAAAACAAAGCCTAGAAATCTGACGGCAAAAGTGAGGCTCCCAGAACAGGAAGGTGGAAGTGGAGAGCAAACGGCGGAGGGGGCACAGTGGGCTGTGGTGGAGGACTATGGATGTTTTGGTGGTGGGTGTGGTATGAAGAGGTGTGAACCTGTACCCCCCTAAATCATAGAGTGGGAAGCAATGTGACCTCAATAAAAATAATACAATTTTTTTAAATACTATTAATATGAAATAGTTACCCAAAAGACAAACTGTAAAAGTAGGCTAAACTTTGACTAATCTTGCCCGGTTATCTTTTTATTTTCTGAACTGGTTGACCCTCTGCTCCCCAGAAGTAATATTATAATAGCCACAGTCTCAGAGTACATACACTGATCAGCAGCATTATTGAAAGTCCATGCCCACTTAGTGAAATTCACTTAAGTTGCTGAAGATGGCAGGAGAATGTGCTTATCATCATCTGCATGTCTAGGCTGCCTAGCAGCAAGAGTCTGGTGGATTCTCTGCCCAGACATGACCAGTCCCCTGCTTTTTGCTATTGCTGTTTCTGAGCCCTGGCCTCATCAGGGTGGAAGCCTGGGAACAAACCTAGAAAGCATGGACACCAGGTCCCAATGGGAATTCCTGGTTAGTGAGCAATCCCAGGGGGAATCACTGATCCGGGTATTCCTATACCGCCAGATTATTATTATTTTTTAATCAGGACTCATTTTGTTGGCAGTGCATTGGTGACCTGTAAGTACTTAAGAGATCAGAGAAGAAAAACAGCCTTAGAAGGGAAAAGTTGAAGCAGGGTGTGTAGGGGAGTCAGCCAGTGGCTCATGCATAGAGTCTATACAGAAGCTGAGGAAGGGGAGCAGCTTTCACACCTTTCTTGGTTTTTGTGCCTTTCAGGTATTTACATTGTTGACAGGCGGTTTCGCTCTCCAGACGATTCTTGCAATCAGCTGACTCAGTTTCTCTATGGATTTTGCAAACAGTCACGCCGCCAAAGAATTATCCAGAGGAATCGAACTGAGAGGCTCTCAGATCTTCTGGACTGGAGATACTTAGGCAGAGTGAGCAAGTTTGTGACCAACATGAGGAGCACTTAAAAAACTCCACTGGACTCTCAAAGTATTGATTCTGTTAGCCACCTGAGAAGTCAGTTCAGGATCATCATTGTTGAAATTTCAGTGATGTTTTCACATAATTTTAAACTGCATGAGTTTTCAAAATCCTAAAGTCAACATTTTACATTCACACATATGAATCTTACTAGTTATTCTGTGTCCACGCTTAAATCGATGTTACAGGCAGGTAGAAATGTTTTATGAAGGCAAGGAAAACATCAGCAACCCTATTCCTCCACTACAGTGGGGGTTGAAGGTTATATTGTTTTTGAAAATGACAAGAACAGAAAAGTCTCTTCAGTCAGAACATAGCTTTATAATCACGCAGATGTTTTTATATCCTAGTATTGATGATTTAATAGAAAAATACATTAACAGCCCAGTAGCAGCAGGTCTCAGTAGTAGCAGGTGAGATCAATTAAATGGTTAAGCGGACTTTGCTTTCACACAATGTGTCTGCTTAATACTGTCATGTGTCCCCAAACACATGCTAGATGGTACCATTTGCTGAGCTTCTACACACCCCAATGCCAGTGCTCATTGCAACCCTGGGTGATTCATTTCCCTGTCTTGTTTTGACAATACAATTAGAATTTTAAGGCCTTTGCAAGTGTGTCTTACTTGAGGTCCAAAGCAGGATTTAAATTCAGTTCACCTGATTGCTTAGGCCCCATCTTTTCTCCAGGCCACAGCAGCTTTTCTGGAGAATGAGATCAGTGATTTCAGTGGCCTTAGTGCCACTGAATTAGTGCCCAGTGCCACTTAGAATTCATCAGTGTGGCTTTTTCCTCCAAGTTTCTGTAGCCTTTCTTTACCCATTCACTTAAAAAATAATTGAACTCTATCATTTTTTCTGATACTCAATTGTAGGATAAATAAATTTGCCACTTAAAAAAAATATTTCATAACTAGGAGAACAAGAGTTTATAACTTAATTATTGAGATATAGAACTTTTTTTTGACCCACAAATTGGTTTTCTATCCTAGTATCACCAGCATGCCAGGCACCTGACATTAAGCAGAGCTTTTCCAGACAAATTCCATATGGAACCCATATCACCACCAACGGTAAATATATTATATATTGCTTATTTGTTTTGAAAGCTAGTTCTTTATGGTAAGTTCAAACAATACCTTTTAATTGGTATTGTTTTAATTGGGATAACTAAGGATACAGACTATTATACTTTATAATAATGTTGCTTCCACTTACATGCTGCGTGACCTTGGGCAAGTCATATAGCCTCTCTGATTCTCAATTTTCTTCTGTAAAGTGGGAAGAACGAAGTTATCAGTGTTGTTACAAAGATTAAATAAAAGGAATACATTTCATATTAGCATCATATAGCATTAGACATCATATAGCATTAGACATTAGTGCTTAATAAAGTTATTTATACAATGAATATTTCTTGAGCTTGGTGAAACCAGAATCAAAATGAATCCAAGCTAACAGCTATTGTTTATTGTATGCCCTCCCAGTGTTTACCACTGAAAATCAAGGCATTGTTTACACTGTTTGTTTCATTTTTGTCTTGGCAGACAGAAGGGTTTAAATACCCCAGACCTTCCTCAGTTCCTCCTTCTCCATCAGGATCTCAGGTCTCCAGTCCTCAAAGCAGTGATGTGGAAGATGAAGATGAGGAGGATCGATACGATGAGGAAGAGGAGGCAGAAAGGGACCGGTTAAATATCAAGTCACCTTTTTCCCTGGGTCATATTCCTCAGGGGAAGAAAAAGCTGCATGGTGAATACAAGAACTGAACTCCACCCTTGCTGGGCAGAGTTAATATAGTGAGAACACAGTAGGAATGACATGTATTCTTGAAATGTATTCTCTGCCTGGAACATGGAGATTGAGTGGCAATTTTTGTAATTTATAAAAAAAAAAATCCAAATTCTTTTCCCAGATTCCTTTTCCCCAGCGCATTTAGGTGTGAGGAAGGATATTAATTAAAGAGGAAAGACTGGGGAGTGTTTTTTTAAATAGATAAGAATTTTCCTTGACGACTATTTTAAAATTTTTATTTTAAAATTGCCATCACCATAATTCTTTGCTTAGCATTTATACAGCTTCCATACCCTACCAAAACAGTCCCCCATCGCCCTCAAAGGCCTTGATCTTAGCCATGAATGTGAACTACCTACATGTTTCAAACTTGGCCTTAGCAATTATTTTCATTTTTCACATGAATCAGAACCATGAATTTATAGCTAACTTTGCAGACAATCAAAATTCATTAGAAATAAGCTATCCTAGGTCCCGATCTAGATGCATATTATTGTATATTACAAGGTCACTTCTCAAATAAATCATAGGAAAATGTTACTATCTGTTCTGTCCATCCAACTGTAACAATTTTTCTGTTAAAAAGGAAAACCTTTTTGAAAACTTGTTCAATCATCTGCAAATAATAAATTGTTAGCTACAAATAAATAAATGCATCAATATTTTAAAAATTTAGTTTTCATTAATAATGGCTTGTTTACTAGACATTTAGGGCCTCCCTGGTGGCGCAGAAGTTAAAGACAGCACTATCAAGCAATCGCCAGCCACTGCAGCACAAGTTTGATATCTGGTCGGCCAGTGAGCTGACCCACATGGCGCAGCAGACCTCTCTGTCTTGCCTGCTGCTCCCCTCAGCAGTGTGTTTCAGTAGATCTGCCTGTTCTGCTCCCCACTCTCTCTGGTGAATCATCTCACCTCCCGCACCTCTAGCCTACACCCCAGTTCTTGTATGCATAAGTAAACAAATCTTTAATAAAAATAGACATTTAAATAAGACCTACTAGGAAGCACCTGCTATGAAATAGTGACTCATGAAGGGTTACACTGGAAATCAATCATCTTTTAAAAAATTAACAAAAGGACAATAAAGAAGCTACTTATTTTTAATAATGTCTCTATCATTCTGTGATGTGAATGGGTTCAATTAAACAGATTTATAGTTTCAATGTAATCAAATCTAAATTGAGAAAAAAAGCAAAAACAAAACACATTCATTCTTGGATTGCTTTTTGTAACAACTGAATTTCATTACCTTTAGATCCCAGTTAACACCTTGGCTGGCATTGCCGTTGGCCTAGGTCAGTATAGGCTCTAAAACCATGTTGGTCGTCTGGGTACTGGATTTGTGGATGGCAACCAGGGAGGAATAAGAATGATGATGTGACAGTTGGTTCAGAGCAGCAGCAAATTATAATCCAGCTCACCTACTGCCTCATTATTAGGAAAAAGGAGAACAGTGGATATAGGCAGCAAAATCCAGCCAGAATGAAAGATGGCTGCCGGCTCACTGCAGTTAGAGGTTCAAGAAGGGCAACAAATTACCTAAAAGCCTAACCCTTGAAAAATGCCCTGTGGATGCTGAGCAGTTTACAAAACTCAGGCCCTGGAGAGCAGATAAAACATGAAATGCATTTGTGTTACCATATTAAGCCTCATTTGCTGAAGAGCCATAAAAATCTCATGATAAACAGAGGTTTCATCCTTACCATAACTGATGTCAGTTGGGAGAGGTGTTGGGTTCAGAGAGCCAGGACCTTGGGTTACCTCTCAGAAAACTTTCTTCAGAGCTCCCCTTTCAGCGCACAGGGTGAGTTTTCCCACAAGGCAGAGACATTTAGTTATATCCAAAAGGGCAAGTGTAGGACCTGCACAGAATAGGATCTCGATGTTCCGGAGCAGATGGGTAAAGGAGAGTCCTGGATCCCTCGGTGGCTTTTCAGGCTTTTGTTGAGCTTTTACCAGGTACGGCAGGCAGGGGGTTGGGAGGATGGCAGGCCTCCCAGCCCCCAGCGAATCTTCACTCTTCCTGGGCTCTCTTGTGGTCTCCGCTTCTCTGCTTTCCTTTGCTACTACTGTTTCTACCACTGCTGGGTTCCCGTGATGCCCCCACTTATAAGCCCAGTCTCTCAGCCCAGGCGCACCTACTTACACAGGCCCACACCCTACTCCAGGTGTCCACCATCAGGCACGTGTGCAAGCTCACAGGTGTCTATCATTAATGCTAATGGCGGGAGGGCGGGAAATCCTGATAATTTTTACTTACCCTACAGTGCCTAAGGATTTTTCTATATTTGATTTGATTAAATCCATTTGAAAGGACCTGTGATTTTTTTTTTTTACAGTGGCCCTTAATCTTCATATGCCCACCTGATCTTCACCTCCAGATACTTTACTTCTCTATAGCTGGTTTAACGACTATGAGGGTCAACAAGACATTCCAAATAGAGGACAGTGAAGAAAAAGATAAGGCTGGGACACAGAGACTTAGTTCTGGGCACAGAGACATTGAGGCAGTGAGTGAGACACCGAGAACTAACCAATCACAGAGAGACTGGTGGAGCTTTAGAATAATGAGGGAAAGAAGGTCTATATTCCCTGAGACACGACTCCACTTTGGCTTCCTTGCCCCTCCCTGGCCTGGTTTCATGGCCTGGGAGTCCACTTTATTTCTGTTCCTTTTCTCCTCAATAAACTTTTTCTTTCTCTAAACAAACCTGCCTCTTCTCGCTTGCTTGCCTGAGCGTCTGTGAAGTTCCTGCTGCGGCTTCGTGAGACACCAGCCCATGGTGGTCTAGTGGCTGGGACTCAGCGCTGCCCCTGCAGCCTGGGATCCCTTCCTGGCTGGGAGATGAGGCCTGAAAACCTACAATTCTGGCATCAGAGACATGAGACAGAGATGTGAGTGAGAGGCCTGTGAGGAGGCTGACAGTGGCTGCCTTTATCTTGATTTTGCTCTTCTCCTTCCAGACACGCCTGGCCCCTTCTACCCTTTTTCTATGGGTCCCCACAAGAGGGCCGTTATACTAGGCACAAGCTTCTGTACCTCAACAGTTCTGCTTTGGGCTAACCCTGTTTGGGCATTTACCCATGAGAATGGGTAAACTTGGGTGCCTGCTTTGAAAAATATATTTTTTCTTTCTTTTATCTTAGCTGCACACTAATTATTACACGCTGATTGTATTAATTTTCTACTGAAGGTCTTACACATGAGCATGTTTTGTTTAAATGGCAGAACCCATTTAGAGTAGGCACGTTTGGGGGCTCTGAGGTGCCTTTTACCCTGCCCTATGATGCTTATTGTCACTGGACTCCATGCCCTTGCTCCAGTCCTTCATCCTTCTCCAGACTGATACAGCCTAGTGAGAAGCCAATAGCATCACTGGTAGATGCCTCTGTGTCTAGCACAGTGTTATATGGTGGAGGCTGAGAGTAGAAAATTCAGGAAGGAGGCATCGTAAGACCAGAAACTGGCTCGCACAAGGCCAGAAGCTGGAGGTAGAGGTAGAAATGATTAACATAGTTGTTAAACCACCTGTATCTGGAGGTAAAGACCAGGTGGGCATATGGAGATTAAGGGCCCTTGTAAAAAAAAAAAAAAAAAGAAAAAGAAAATCACAGGTCCTTTCAAATGGACTTAGTCAGACCAAATATAGAAAAATACTCAGGGCACCAACCCTATAAATAATTAATTTAACAGCACTGAACAATCCCACAAAGGAATGAACCCCTCCCAGAGAAAAAAAGACTATCAGTGCAACTTCTGCACTGGCAGAGGCAGCTCTCCTGCCCGCCTGTGCCTATGTGGGTGTTTCTCTTCACCAGGCTTCTCCCTTGGCAAAGCAGAAGAGGCAGCTCCTCCCGCAATGGCTGCCGCCTAGGACTCTGCAGGCCTCTCTTTTAGCAAAGCTGTCCTTGTCCAAGGCAGTAAAGTGTCCTTTACTTCCCTTCCCTTTTCATAATAAACCGGCCCTTTTGGATATAACTGAACATCTCTGCCTCATGGGAGAGCTTGCCGTGCGCCACTGAAAGGGGAGCTCTGAAGAAACTTTTCTGAGAGGTAACCCAAGGACCCGGCTTTCTGAACCCAACACCTCCCAACCAATCTCATGATGCAAGTTGTTGCATAAATGAATGGTCTTATTGGGAGAAACAGGCGTAAAAAATAAATGCTTTTAAAGAATGTGTATATTCCCAAGTTGAAGGACAAGAACTGGAGAAAGCAACTTGTGTGTGCCTGACCAGCGAGCTTGTGTGCTTTGTATGGCCCTTCCTTCCAAGGCCAGAGTTTGGGTGAACAGAGCAGGTCTTAACACATGCGGATGAGGACATATGATGCCAACAGACTTCCAGGCACTGGGAGGACTTTGAAGAGGGACTAGTCGAGTATATGGGGTCCATCCAAGGGGCTTCATTGAGTGAGTCTTACTTTCCATGAAGTTAAGGAAAACAATCGCCCACTTCACGTGGGGGTTAGAAGGATCAAATCAGATTAGAAACCAACTCTTCCTAAAGGAATGTGTAGTCCAGCAGATGAGCACACTGTATCCCTGACTCCCCTGTCTCCTGGGGTGAAATATAATGCCACTCAAGGTCCATGGGACACAGCTGTCATTCCTCATAAGCTGGTAGACAAGAAATGATAGTTGGAGGCTAATTTTAAGATATGATAGTCTCTAAGCTTCCTTGTCTCCTCACTAAGGAACACAATGATGGGTGTGGAAGGCAGAGGCAGGGGAACAAAGGCTAATGGAAAACCTCAGGGGTGGGGAAGTGGGGACAGAGAGCCACTGAGTTAAGGACCCAGAGGCAGAGCGGGGAGGGAACTGGAACTATGGGAAAGTGGCCATCAGTTGGACCTGGAGTGGGGGTAGACAACATGGATAAGCACTTGAGGCAGAAATTTCCCAATTTTAAAATATAGCTATACAATGGGAACACATTTTGATCACTGATCACTTGTTTGTTTCAGTTTTGAAGAGAAAGAAAAAGAATTGCAAAGATGCCCCGAGAGAGTTACAGCAAATTGGGCATAGGGACTTTCATGCACTACTATATTAATCAGCACATCTTGCAAGAGGGCAGTCCAGGAATTCAAGTACTAATAACATTTGGAGCAGATATTATTTTAATACCTATTGGGCAAATTAGACAGCTTTTAAAATGGGTTATTAAGAAGTTCTTGGGCCTCCCCAGTGGTGCAGTGGGTTGAGCACAGCGCTGTGAAGCTGTCTGCAGCCTCTGCAGCGTGGGTTCAATTCCCAGCCGGCCAGGGAGATAACCATATGGCGCAGCAGACCTCTCCTCTCTCGCCCACTGCTCCCCTCAGCAGTGTATTTCAGCCAGTCTGGCTGTTCTATTCCCCTCTCTGTCTCTGGTGAATCCTCTCACCCTCCTGTACCTCTGGCCTGTACCCAGCTCTTGCATAAATTAAAAAAAAAAAAAGAAATTCTTGAGAATGTTTTAAGCAGTTGTAGGAAGTGCTGTGTCCGAAGATGGATTTTAAAAGTGTTCTTGGCATAATGGTTAAATAACTGACATGTTCAAATTTATGTCACCTGAGTAAATGATTTGCAATTGTCTAGAAATCCACTTCAAAATCAAACTACAATTAATGACACATGCCTATTATAATGCCATGTAGATTATTTTTTTAATGCTAGTATATTATCTCTTGGGCAGATATCAGTAGTACATTAACTTGAATATAGTTGCATTATTCAATTATGAAAGAAGATGCAGTCAAATCTTACAAGCAGGGTTTTGATTATTTAACACAGTGAAATTGTAAACAGTTTCTACTTTCAGACACATTCACATAAAGGTATTTTCTAGCTACTAAAAAAGGGTTACACACTGAAGACAGTAAGAATTAACAATATATTTCACTAATGACATTTAACCAGTGATAGCCATCAATTAATTACATCAAAAGTTAACTTGCCAGTCATATGATGATTCCAAATAAAAATATTATGCTTGCTGTGGGGCAGGGATGTGTGTGTGCATTTTTTTCAGATCGTATTTAACCCAAATTGATTTGAAAAGGAGTAAATACATAATGTTTTTGTCAAAGCCTAGGGGTTCTACAAATTCAAGTAAGAGTCTTTGAGTCTGTTTAGTCTGGATAATGGGATGGTAATTTTTACTTCTGAAAAACTGGTTTGTTCTCTGTATAATGTGCAAGGAGCAAAGTGTGTCTCTGCTTATTTCCAGTAACTTTTAAATCCCTATTTCTAAACTGAATTCAGAAAGATCCCAAAACATCACAAGGTGGGGAGGATCTTACTGAGGAAACTTCTATTGGCTCCTGTGTACCAGATGGTCCCATTCTCAGCGAACACACCAAAGGGTTGGAATTGCAGGACTTCTCCCCAGCCATCTCTTTCCCATTCCTTCTCTTAGAACTGAGCCCTCCTGAACCAGCAGCTCAGAGATTTACTTTCCTCTCTGCCATGCTACCGCACTTCCTTCTCACCCTTCTTGGAGGCTGGAAATGGGGTGATTGAAAAGAATGGGAGATTGTCACAGAGTGATGAGACAAGGCAAGTGGGAACAGAATAAAAACACTAACAATTCTAAATTATTGCATCCAGATGAGGACTGGTTGCAATGAAAAAAAAAAAAAAAAACAAAAAACAGGACTCTAAAGAGTTTTCAGTCTTAAACTTATCAATGCTCTAGAAAAATCCACGATTGGGACATAGGGTGATTTCAATAGAACCTAAAGGAATGAAAGAAGGCTATGATAGTCTCATCTAAGAACACTACAGTACTTTTACTTCTGGAAGAATAAAATCAGCTGTGCATGTTCCTAAGATTACAAATGAAGTAAAAAGGCCCAAGGGTTTTATTCACATGGTTCACGTTTTCAACAAGAATAGAACTATCATTAGTGTAATCTGGTATATTTTCACCAGTTTAGCAGATTGTCTTCCAGGAGTCTGCTTTGATCAAAGTTTTCTTCTGCAACTGTAAGAAAAAAAAATAATACCCCAAATAAGTAGACATTCTGTGGTTTAAAAGAAGTGAAGAGAATCTCAGGAAATAAACATTCCCAAATAAATATTAGATTATATTAGTTATGTTAATGGGTGCACAATGCTATTGGAAGTTCCCTAAATTGGATTTTGAATGATTTAATTAAGAAATTTCCCCTCACTTGGGACCCATGGGGAATTGACATTTTACATCAAATCTCCATAATGAATGAGAACTGTTGCTGAGTTAGAATCATCCACTGGCATCCAGGTACTGACTAGGATTCCTGTTCAAATGCATTTAACTTGGGAAAGAAGACATGTCAATGCTGTTAAAAGTATCTCTTATTAGCTAACTAGAGGTCTGGAGCATGGGGTGGGCGTGGGGCTGGAGGTAGATGGGGAAATTATATAAAAAGAAGGGAAACTGCTGGATGGGAATGTTAAACTTTATAGAGCAGGGAGAGCTGAGTCAGATGAACACAGCTTCCTGAGAGTCTCTAAATGAGGAGAAAGGCTAAAAACCACAATGGGGAGAAGAAGGGAAGTTGCAAAATTTTCTCTTAAGGTCATTTCTACATAAAATTCTATCCCCCCCCCCCAGTTAGTTATAATAGAATCACTTTAACCTGGACAGCTGACACAGTGTGAAATATGGTAGACAATGGAATGTTTTTCAGAGATGGGGAAAAAACTTAGTAAGAAAGGCATTCCTATGTATAAGCCACTAAAATAAAACCCCACTATATAAAATAAGAACCCTTCCAAATAATGTAACTGTAGAATAAAAATAGTAAAGGTGCTCTAGTGATTAACATGGGAATCCACAGTTTTCTCACCAATTTAGACTAGTGCAATTTGTTTCCTCATTCCATCATTGTAAACTTCAATGATTAAAACATAATTATTTTCTAAATACAACTTGACTTGTATTGGGAGCCTACAGTCAAACCCTTTCCTGAAGCCTCTGATGAATATTACTTTCCTCTTTAAAATGAACTCTCCATTTTCCATTCTAGATGACTTGCTGGTTCAGCGCATCTTCTGGACAATCAAATTCAAACCTTGACTATCAGTCAACCTGCCTCCAGCATCATCCTCCTGCTGACTTTAAAAATCAGCGAGGGGGGCCTCCCTGTTGGTGCAAGGGGTTAAACACTGCACTATGAAGCAATCCTCAGCCTCTGCAGCACGAGTTCGATGCCCAGCCAGATAGGGAGAAACCCACATGGCGAGGCAGACCTCTCCTGTCTCGTCCACTGCTCCCCTCAGCGGTATATTTCAGTCAGTCTGCCTGTTCTGCTCCCCACTCTGTCTCTGGTGGATCCTCTCACCCCCTGCATCTCTGGCTTGTGCCCCAGCTCTTGTATGCATAAATAAATATTTAAAAAAAAATCAGCGAGGGGACCAATGCTGACCTTAGGAGGGGTCACCTTGGATACCTCCGCTAGTCCCATCTTGCTCATTGCAAGGGCACTGAGCCATGCCAGCCAGCACCTGCCTTCTCCCAATTCTGCTGTTGACATTCCTGACCCAGATGCCCTCCAAACAAGGCTTCAGCAACTCACATCCCTGAATGGGGGCAGATGGACTGACCCTTGCTGCCAACACACTCCCCCTCCCTGAACATCTGCATCCTTACAGACCATTTTATTGGGGGTTTCTAATCACTCATTTCAGACTTCCCGCCCTTGATTTCTGAGACACTCTGGTGTACTGGTTTGTACCGGAAATAGTTTTCAGGCTTTTCTGCCCTCCTGCCATTAGGATTGCCCTGCCTGATGGGATACCTGCAGTTTTTACATTGTTGTAAGCTGTGCTGTTTATTTCTGTGGGCCATGGCTCAGTATTGAGATATTCACCAAGAGAAGCAGAGGCAGGAGAGAGAAGGGGAGAAAGAAGGAGCGAGAAGCCCGGAGTGAGGACTTGCTGGGGGTTGGAGACCTAATGGCCTCCTGGCCCCCAGTACCACCGCCTGCCGTGTACCTGGTTGTTGTACTACATGTAAAAGCTCAATAACAGCCTGAGAAAGCCAATGAGGGCTCCAGGACTCTCCTTTACCCTGCCTGCTTGGATCATAGAAAACCTGCCCTGTGCCCATCCTGCCCCTACATGGTTCTTCCCTTACATTTCTGCTGTTTTTTAAAATTTCCTTTCACTAACACAATCTTCCCTCTTTCCCCTTGATTTCTAGGTACACTCCAAAGGAAATGCTTTATTATTATCCTTCTCCCAATATAGTGGAAGCCAATGAAGGGGTTTCATTTCCAAGGTTTCAAACTTGGTTCAATGGCTCTGAATTTCCAGTTGCTTCCAAACCTGACCAATCATCAGTACAATCTGGGGGAACTACTTAGGGTTACAAGTTCTGGGGCTTTACTTCCATAGCACATAATCAGGATCAATAGGCCTCACGCAAGAAATCTGTGTGTTCATCAGGCCTGGGGTTAACTGCTAGAACCAGCCCCTGGACAGAAAGCTGAGAACTAGGGCTCCAAACATCTTTATGCCCTGGAACATCTATCACCTCAAATCATACCCACAGAAATTTCCATTCCTTATCACCATTGGCATCTCATTTAGTTTATTTTTATTTCTTGGTTAAAAAGTACCAAAAAATTATGCCCAATAGATGCATCTAAAAGTTATGTTCTTACTAAAAAACATTAGATTATAGATATGGGTAAAGATGACATTATTGTTTTAAACCCATACACAATCCCTTCAAAACATGCTCAATTCTGGGTTCTCATTTATACCTGTGATGAATAGTTATCCCATGTGATGTTCTTCCTTCCAGTGCATTTCAGAGGGGGCCTCGCCATTCGTTCCCTCAGACTAGCTGAACTTCGTCACCTCCCTCCTACATTACTTCCTTAGTTTCTTACTGGTTCCCCTCTTCAGCCTTTCCTCTTCAATACAATTCAGGGAGGGAAAAAGAGGTGTTCCGAACTCAGCAAGGCAGACAAAATTGCAGATTAAGGAAAAGCAGGATTGAGACTGAAAAGGCTTTTGCAGTGAAAAGATAAGTAGGATGAAGAGCAGAACAGAGGCACAGCAGTTATGCTAAAGTCTTACTGCTGCCAGCTGGTGACCAGTGGGCCAGACCCAGTCCTGAGCGCTTGAGAAGGACCTGGCACTATTATTGGTCCAAACGTTACAGATGAGGAACTGGACACACAGATTTAAATCACTTGCCCTCTAGCTCAAGCAGGTATGTATCAGAACAGCGATCAAGCATGGAAGGTGACTTTCTCTTTGAGAATCAACAAGAGGTCCCATGATTTTCAGCAAGAAACACCATCCTAATAGGACCTGAGTCTGGTATGGCACATGGTTCCCAACAAGAGCACTAATAGCAGCTATAATAGAGGAGTGGCTACAAAGTCTCAGATGTTCTTGTTAATTCTCAAAGCTCAGAAAGTTAAGCCTTCAAACAGTGTCTTTACTTTCCTGAGATCACACAGAAGTGACAATGAGATTTTAACTCTGGTCAGATGACCCAGAGCTCTTCAATGATACCACACCACTACACAGTATCTCCACTAAAAGTTTATGCTAAATCCTGCCATAAAATAAGTTATAAAGTATACACAAAATTGCATATATTTATAGAGTGAATTATATGATATTTGTAAGTAAAAACTAATTGATAATCAGTAATTTCATTGGCTTTATCCTGTGTTAGTAATGGGCTTTGTAGTTATTTAAACTTCTTTTGAGCTCAGTTTCTTCAATATAAAATAATGAAGTTGATCTTTGAGCTTTATTCAGTCAGTTGTAGAATTCTAAGAGAAATAAAGATTTACAACAGCTTAAGGATTCTGGGTTTTATATAAAATGCCCCAGGCTGACCAAGGACATGCTTTTTAGGATTTCCTTTAATGAGAATATACTGGTCTGTCAGTGAATTTGGGGAACGAGGATTGGTAACCATTGTTAAGTATTTTTTAAAAATCCTAAAGACTAAATGAAGGCAATTTTGTTGTATTCAACACAGCATCCCAAAGGGAATCAAAGTTTCTTTGTCTTGTAGTTGAAAGAGGTCTGCTCATACCTTGTGGTTTCTGCCAGGAAGCCAGCAACACAGCCAATGCTTCAGGAAAAGTTAGTGCTGGGGGATTTGCGCTTCGTCTTTCTGAAGAAACAAAATGTTTAAGAGTCCAGTAGCATTGAAATATTGATATAAACAAATCCTGCTCCTTTCTGCTACATTATTAGAAAAACCTCTATGAAATATCTGTTTGATCCCTTAGCAAGACTCCTTATGCAGAAGACCGATTTTTAGTAATGAAACATTTTACACTTGCTTTGGACATTACTTGCAGTTGGTTGTGTTCTGTGTCATGGAAGAGAATTTCAACTACACCTTCCAGGGAATTTCATGAGAGCAAGGAGGATTCAAATAAACAGATCAAGAGTATTTTCCCCTTCAGAGTTCAATAAGGGATGTCTGGGCAGAAAGTTTTAGATGTCATCCACATCACAGCCTGGCCCACCTTTTCTGTATTCCTTCCAAAACAATTTGAGATAATAATGTACATTCTCCACATGTAAGGTAATCATTTAATTAAAAAAGTATCTGCTAAATATTCAGTTATTTCAAATCGAAACAGTCAGAGACCAAAACCTGATTCAACGCAAACCAGGATTTTTAAATTGCAAGTAACTGAAGTTGGATTTTATCCTCATAAAGTGAAAGAGCTTACTTACACTGCAAGCTTGAAAAATGCAAACAAGAATGCATCGCCCACCTACTATGTGCTCAACACAGTGCTTGGTAATTTTCAAAATAAATGTCCTGCTCATTGTTAGCATTTCAATCTTCATCAAATGTAAAACTGTAATATTATTCTTTAAATACAATGGTATGCAGAGGCTTATCCTGAAAAATAACAGCCCCAGGCTCAATTCTAAATGGCCTGCACTTACTATTTATGACTTGAAACACGAGACAGCGCTTTGAAGGGCTCTTTGTAGTAGACTAGAGGGGTGTATTTGAAGTTTGTAAGTAATTCACTATTTTAATAGTAATGACAATTGGATAACAATAACAATTTCATACGACGCCCCTGCACACCCAGAGGCCAGAGGTTCAAGCTGCGCCGCCGCCACCCGGGTCAGCAGCTGAGCTCGGGCGCTGCACACACCGGCTCCGCCACCCCTGCTGCCCTGTCTCCCCGGGTGACGGGCGTGGCGAGCCCCTAGTTTCGGTGCCTGCTCCTCGCCCCCCCCCCAGCCCCCCCCCCCCGCCCCAGCTCTCACGCCGGGCGGCCTGGGGCGCGCAGCCCGGGAGCTCCCCGGGCGCCGGAGTCAACCCCGCTCCCTCGGCCACTCACCGGGCGGCGGCCGGTCGGAGAGCATCTTCCTCCGGCTCTGGTCGGCGATGAAGCGGCGCCCCTCTGCGAAGGCGAGACGCGGGACTCAGCGCGCGCGCCCGGCCCCCCGCCCGACCCCCGCCCGCACGCCGGCCGCTCCGGCCGCTCCGGCCGCTCCGGCCGCCCCCGGGCTCCGGGTCAGATCCGCGCGGCTGCGGGGTTTCGGGCGTGCGGGGCGCCACCCCGGCCGAGCCGGCGCCCGCGCTCCCCGCCCACCCTGCCCGCCGCGGGCCAGGCGGCTTTGGCGCCCCGGTTGCTTTCAGGATCACGTGCAAGGTTTCCACGCACCTGGGAGTGCTCCCCGAGCCAGAGCCTGCAGCCCTCAGCTTAGGAGGGAGGATTTGAATCGTTAGGCAGCGTCCCCCGCCACCCGCCCGGCCCTGTCCTCGAGCACCAGAAACCTGGACGACCGCGGTGATGTAAGGGGACGAACTCGCTACTGTTCTCCACCCGCCGCTCTCCCTCCGCCTGCCCCGGGGATGCAAGCTCCTCCAGGCTCCTCCTGTGCTGCAGCAGGAAGAGCAAAGTGTTTGAAACTTACGCGCGCCCTTCAGGTAGAGCATAGCTTGAGGAGTCCAGTTCCTTCTGTCCAAGAATCTCTACAAAGCGGCGAGGAGAGAAGAGCAGTTAGGAACACACTGCTGCCCGGTTCTCTCGTGGGCAAACAGGCAGACAAACAAGCACACGAGAGAAGGAAGGAGGGATGGAAGGAAAGAGCGTGCAGGGGCTCCACTGCTAGCATTTGATTCACCTGTGGGGCACTAATGGAATTTCCCAAGAAAGAAAACGCCAGGAGAAGAGCCAAGGTCGTTGCTGTCAGACTTCTGAATCCCTAGGTGAAAAGATCAAAGAGAGTCTTTTCTGTGTTCCACAAGAAACTTTTGCTTTCTTCCTTGATTCCTGGACAATTACAAAACCCCCACTCTCGCCCGTGTTGTTTTATAGCCCAGTACTTGGAGAGAGTCCCCCAGTCCACCATAAAATTAATCCACAATTAATTTTAAAAATTTTTTACATTTTTCATTTTAAAACAATATTTGCTTCCCCCCCACCCCCTCAGGCGTAGTTCCCATAAAGTTTCCTTTACCAATGCACCTGTGCACCATCACCCCAGTCCCCTGTGCTCCGCCCTCCCTCCCTCTGACCACTCTCTGGCCTCCTCCCCTGCAGGATGTCTGATTTATACACAATCAATTTTTTTTTTAAAAAATTAGAAATATATTATTTTTATTAGTTAGCCCAAATGAAGAATTGAATGGATATGACTTTTTTCCTCTGAAAAATCAAATGATTCTGGTATTTTCGAGGCGTATCCTCTAGCCCCTAAAACACAGTATACATAAAACAGGTAAAAAGCTACAAAGCTTTTTATAAAACAGCTCATGAGTCTCAAGTAAGTAAAACTTTTACTTACCTTCATGTTCTGCTCCTTTCCCGAAACTGCAATAACTATCCCAGGGACTTTTCTAATCTTGTTTGGAAGGTGGGGCTTTTAAAATCCTGTTCTCAAGGACCCCTCCCAATCATCAGCAGAGTGAGGGAGCCCACAGGGACATCTTGTCAGTCTTCAAGATTGAGAGGCTCTGACAGTCCTCCAGGGAGATTCAGTTGCAGGAAGCAGAGGAATGACTGATGAATGGACATCATTTGTTCAGATTCGGTGATGACGTCACCTAGAGATATTCTGAATGTATCAGCACCATTGCCTTTACTTTTCCCACTTGCTTCCCAAAGTATATTATTATTTTAAAGATGAGTAATAGCTCCAGGCAGAATCAAAAGTAAATGAATAAAATCAAAACTTACCTTGGTAACTAGCTATCAAGTCATTGCTGGTGAGAAATGAGATTAGGGAATCTCAAAGGAAGTGGACATCAGTCATTCACTACTTACCCATTCAATTATTTAAGCAATATGTACTAAATGCAACTATGGCCAGACATTCTTCCATTTAATGCAAGACTGCATTAAAAACACAGTCTCTGCTTTGCTTAGGGGAGAAACACTGAACTGGTAACACTGCACAATATTTTACATGTTTTATGCACGAAAAGCAGGCAAGGTGCTGTGATAGTAAGTGGTGGATTACTCAAGGAAGGTAAAAATGGAGAGAGAGGAATTATGAAGCATAAGTAGAGTTCAACATCCATGACCTTGGATGCCTGTGGAGGTGCAAAGCATAGCACTTGTGAGTCAGTGGGAGATCAGAGGCTGAGAAAAAGAAATCTAAGATGATTCTCAGTTTTGAGCTTAAATGCTGGGTCATGCCATGCTGAAATTAGACTTTAGAAACTGCAAATTAAGAGTGGTGTGTGGGACATATTGAAATTAAATATTCACTATCCAAATAGAAATACTAATCAGGCCACTAAAAATGCAAAGCTCTATAGAGCTCAGCTAAGAGGTCGCTAGCCTAGATTTTTTTTTTTTCTAAGAGCAGGAATGCTCAGATTTAAGAATTTGAGGAATTCTATGGCAGCAGGTGAGAGGATTCACCAGAGACAGAATGGGGAGCAGAACTGGAAGATCTACTGAAATACACTGCTGAGGGGAGCAGTGGGGAGACGGAGAGGGCTGCTGCTGGGGCGTTGGGGTTGGGGGGATAGAACTCCTGCTGCAGTGGCTGGTAATAGCTTGATAGTGCTGAGACACCAGGAAGACCCCTTTCAGAATCTTAAGGCAGGGAAAAACTGGGATTGAAGAATAGCACTTTGGGAGTAAATGAAGTTACAGAAAAGAGAAAGGGACAGACAGAATAAGGGAAATAAGCCCAGAAAATAAGAGAGGGAGAGCCAGCAAAGGAAGCTGAGGTGAAGTATCAGAGAGAAGGGAGGATCAGAAGAGGCAGTGAGGCTATGGGAGCCTGGAGAATATTCAAGAAATGTTGAAAGGTTGAGCTAGATGCCAGCCAAGAAATGTGCACAGAATTTGGGAATATGACAGTTTTTGAGGACAGATGCTAGACTGAAGTAGGTTGAAAAGTGAATAGGATATGATTAACACCAAAACTGGAAAAAAATTTAATGTTATTTAAACAGTAGATAGGAGTTTAGGGTTTAATTTCAAGGAATTGTAGCAACTTCCAAACAAATAAAATACATAAAAATACCCATGTGTTTAAATGAATTCATAAGTTAAACCCAATTGTTGGTTACCTAACAAGTAAAATTCCTCTCCCCCTTCTCCATTCCAAAAACACAGACAGGCTTTAGAAAGATGGACAGGAAAATGAATTGCCAGTAATGTCGTGTTTTGGATTTACAAGTTTAAGGAAAAGCAAATGTGGTTTGTTTACAACAGTTTAATGAATTCTCAAGAATTACGTCAAAGCTGCCATTTTCAGTATAATACGTTGAACAGAGTGTTTTGACAGATGATCAATACCATAGTCTCATCAAAAGTAACGTGCCTGACTGTTTGCTCCAAAAGGGCATTGACTCCCAATAAAATGTTCTTGTTATATCACAAAGTTTAAAGATTTTTACAAGTCTGAGCCTAGAAATGGGCTAAGAAAATTTGTTTTATAAGAATCAAATGATGGATAAAACCATTATATTTTATTCTGCTGACATTATGACCAGCAACAGGCACGGAACCAGCAGGATCCTTAATCTTTCTTAAAGGCACATTCGGTGGAGACCATTTTGCCTGCATTGCTGCTGTCAGCTGAATTCTTGTAGTCTATCGGACAGTGACCCAGCCCCATTTAAACAGTAATGACTGCCATTGTTTAAACTGTGTTCTCCCAAGGTTAGGACGATTGTTCAACTGTTCAACGCCTGAGTAAGCTTACCTGCACAATATGGCCATTAGGGCTTAGGCATCGTATGAACGAAGCTACTGGGTTGGTCTCCTACTTTGGCTTTATTTGTGCCAGGGTTCCTCCACCCAGTAGGCCAGTTCTCTCACAAACAGGTGGAAGAAATAATTTCCCCAAAGAGCTGCCAGTTAGAAGATCTTCAGGGGCAGGAGGCTTGCTATTCCAAGCGGAACTCTCCATTCATTGCCCATTGTCTTCCTTTTACTTTCTTTCATTGCTAATTCTTAGAATCTTTTTTCTATAATTCAACAAATACCAAAACAGGTTCAAAGTTCTGAGAGGACAAGAAAGGATTGGTTGTTTTGGCCTAGTGGGTCCAGAAAGATATGACAGAGTTGACCTTTTTAATGAGTTCTTGAGAGCTGCGAGGGAGTGTTAGCAGTCAGTAGAGGAAGGAGTTAGGGCTCACTGCTTCCGTATGCAATCTCCTACGTGGGTCCAGGTGGCAGAAGGGCAGAGGTTGGATCTTTTGGCCTCGAGGTTAGAAAGCTATGCTGGATGGTGGAATAAGAGCCTTCAGGACTTCCAGTTCACCAGAGTTGAGACTTGCAGTTTAATTGTTGGATTCAACACATACTTCTTGGATACTTTAGTCCTATACTTGGCCAGTGGTTTTGTGGCCTTAACAAAATTGACAATGCAGATGTTAAGTGGTTTTGTTAACAAATAAGTATTATATATTCCTTCCTTGATAAAGGATATTTAAGCACATGTGTACCAATTTCTAAATTCGTTGACCACTTCTTTGGGTTATCTAAAGTCCATTTCTATCTTACGATTACAGTCAAGCAATTTGGAAATGAATGTGATTAATGTTTCACAAAATGGAATTGCCTAAGGCTCATTTTTCAAAAATAAGGTGGCTACTGTGCCATGCTAAATTTTAGAATTCCATAATAAATATACATTTGACCACTGTTGTGGACTAAATTTGCCTCCCATCAAAATTCCTGTTGGTAGTTCTAATCCCCAATATGATGGTATTGCAGGGAGGAAATAGGTTCAGAGATTATGCCAGGGCCCTCTATGATGGGATTAGTGTCTTCTGATGGGAGCAGAGCTCTCTTGGCCATGGGGGACATAGAGAAGGCAGCCACTTACAAGCCAAAAAAAGGGTCCCCACAACGGGAACTTTTTTTTCTTTTGCATAGAAGAACTGGGGTGTAGGCCAACGGTGGAGGGGGGGTTGGGAGGGACAAGATTCATCAGAGACAGTGGGGAGCAGAACAGGTGGATTTACTGAAATAAACTGCTAAGGGGAGCAGCGGGTGAGACAGGAACAGTCATTGCTGAGACTTAACCGCTAGGCCACCAGGGAGACCACTCCGACAAGGAATTTAATCAGTCAGCATCTTGATCTTGAACTTCCCAGACCCCAGGGCAGTGAGAAGGAAATGTTGTTTAAGGCACCCCATCTACGGGATTTTGCTACAGCAGCTAAGACAAGCACCAATTAATAGAAAAGTACCCTTTTATTGAGAGGTAAGACAAGTGTATTTACAATATTCAATTGTTAGATCATATAATTTGGCTGAGACTTTTTAAAGCAGCGAAACTCCAGGAATTACAATTTATAAGGAGAAAAGAAAGAACATTCCAAATAAGTTTCTGTTACAGAAAATACATTTGAACAATGCCAAAAACAGTTAAGGCTAAGTAGTATTAGACCTTTTCCTCCATCTTTATAGCAATAACCAAAGTATATTTTTGTCAAAAAGACAGAAGGCTAATTTTTGAAAGGAAGAAACAACAGGATATCCAATGCTTCCCATCACAGGATTAGTAGGTTTAGAAATAGAGGCTCATCAATGGTTCTGAAAAAGAAATATGCAGTGCTGCCAGGCGGCCCAAGCTCACACTGGAGATTGACTGTGGCTTCAGTTAAAACTGAAAACTGCTCCAGTCTCTCAACTTACTAAGAGGACTGGGAGATTATCAAATCCTTTACACACACCTGTCTAATGATGCTTTCTGAAAGAAGATTGTTGAGAGAGAGATGTCTGTTATTGTGCAAAGAGCATTATGATAGAAATTCACTTCTACAAAGGAGTTAGATAATACAGAATTCCTTACACTAACAGATATTGTTCCTGCTCTAAAAGGGTGGAATCATCTTGCCACTATAAATCACATGGGTCAGTCAAAAACACATGTAACAGAGTCTGACAGGACACCGTTCATAAGTCCATCCTCCAAATATGTATATATTTGACGCTCTCCCCAAGTGAGGATATTACTTCCTTGAAGAACATTAGACACAACACTAGGTTTCTTATGATTCCATGAACTATTGAGGTAGGAGTCTCATTTCATCAATATTACCTATTTTCACAGATTGTAAGTCAAACGCAGTACCAAAAAGACAGAAATCCACAAGACTGAACCACTGGCCTGTATGCCAAATCTTTCCGTCTTTACATGAGCAAGTTTGGGAGTTTCTGCGCATGAAGAGATTGAACTAAAAACAACACAAGCTGTCATTTATTTTGTACACATTTGTAAATAAAAATCACAAATTTCAATTATGATTTTATACATTAAAAAGCTGTATCACTATTTTTTTTAAGTTAATAGTGCAATCATTAGTGGTAAAACAAATAGTATAATGGCTGTTGAGATGCATTCCTAGAACTACTACAAAAGCTGTCACCTTTACTCATGAAGAAACCACCAGTTTTTTACTGCCTGACAAGCAGCAGTGATAGACAAACACCACACACTGTTTTTTTTTAGTGTCATGTTTTTAAGAAATGATAGCCAGCTTCACTACAGTTAAATAACTTCAGCATGTGAAAACAGATATTTTCTCCATGAACTCAAGGCAAAGAGTGATCATATGATGTACACCTCATGCATACTGATCTCTATGATGAAAAAGGGCAAACTCAGCCTTAAATAACCAGCCCTTAAAAAACAGCTCTAAGGTTAACCTTTTAACATGTTATAACTTGATACCTTGATACATTATCAAGTTATTTTTATTTATGAAGAGCAAAATAATAAACTGCTAAAATTTACAAAAAGGAAGAAAAACTACACCGTGATGTGGAAAAATCCATTTGGTTTGCATCATTTAGTATCTAGAATGAAAGAGTATTCAATAAAATAAGCTATGTAACAGACCAGGCCAAGAGTGCTTTCTGTTGGGTATTTATATGTAACGACCGACAAACTCCCAAGCACTAAATGTATTTCTGGAGTATGCAGCTGACCAAAAAAGAGCTTTTAGTCAGCTGCTAGTAAAGAATGACCTCTGCGTGTTCCAACAAAGAATATTTCATTGAGATTTCCATCTGGCATTAAGTTGTCAACCATAAAAATTTTACTTTAACCATCAGTTTACCAAAAAAAAAAAAAAAAGGGAAAAAAAGGTGATTTAAACCTCCAAGCTGGGTTTTCCTTGGTTAATACGCTAACATGACATAATCCCATCTGATTCACGAGTCACCTTCAGAGACACTGGAAATACTCCTGTCACTGCAGCGGGCATTTCTCAACAGCACATGCCCGTGGCATGCCTGCACCTCCAGAGGGATAGAAAAGGAGCAGGCCCCATCTCTAAAGATGGCTGGGTTTTGCACCTTTTGGAAATACAAGAAAAATTGCCTTCAAGAGTTTCAATAATGCATTGTAACAGATTTCATCCCCTGCGGTTTGCTTGCTGACTCCTAGATGACTTGATTAGAAGCCTGTTTTCGATGCTTCCTTGTTAACTGCTGTTGGTACTTTGTAGGCTACTTGTTTTAAACATTACAGGCTATTTCATGTAATTTAACTTTGTGCTGAATATTCTTCAAAGGATTTCATAAATAATACAATATTTTAAATGAGTCTTCAAGTCACTCGTTGTTATACCATAGTGTTGCTTTCTCCAACTTTATCTACAAACTGCAAGAAGAAAAACAGATTATTAGAAGAATGCCTACAGCAGTACACATCATTATATCAATTTTTTATTGATATCATTATATCAATTTAAAAAGTCAGATTTGTAAGAACATTTATGGAAATTTAAGGTATGGCGAACGATGATGAACCCAGTACTACTCACCACTATCTTCTGACACATAAATGTATATAACATTTTTTTTTCTACAGGTTGTTTTTGCATGACATGTTATACATATGACTTTAAGGGTGCAACATGAGAAATGCACAACACAATGAAAAAAATTAGATAAAATGAAGTTAACACTGCTAGCTCAACACAAAAATAAAAAGCTGAAATGTCAGCCCATTCATGCATTAATGAACCCAACGAGATATTTCAACTGACCATAACTGTGCATCTCTTCTGGGCCTATGTAGACTTTGAACAAACAGATTTAACTCCATTAAGTTCAATAATTAACAATAGCGATTGACTACAAACACTTTAAATGTGTATACTGGACTTCAGACTGAAAGTGGCAATGATGCAATAATAATGCAAGCATAAATTCATAATTACTGAGTACATCTTTTAACAAACATTAATGTAAGTGGTTATTTACTTTGGTTGCTCCACCCCAGATATAAAGTAATTGGGCTTTCTTCAGCTTTCCAGATGGTGATGCAAACAAATATTGAAACAAAGTAGTTAGTGAAGATATTAAAAGCTACAAACCCAAGTGGTTGTACTCTCAAAATTTAGAGATCAATTTCACTGGTCAGTTTCTACTTTACATATTATAATTAAGTAAATAATAGGAAACAGAATGTATAGTATTAGGTGTCCATTTTTGCAAATATTCAAGAATCCTTACATTAAGAACACTGGAAGTTATTATAACTTTATAACAGAAGTCCCAGTTAATTCAAAAGCCATTCTAAGCATAAACAGTAACTACTGCATAAGGGTGGAGATTAATGCAGATGAAACAGGATACCCCCTTAGCAGCCTGTGTCCCAACACTGCACTTGCTCACAAACAGGTAACTAGGCACACGGAAACTAAAAGCTGCTATGAAAATATTCATGGATTCCTTAATCCTTAAATTTTCAAGTAAATGTAAGTGGTGAGAAAGCACAACAGTCTCTGTCCAAAGGTAGCTTTGAATAGGACTGGTGTGGATCAGTCATCCTTTAGCTGTCTAAGAATTCAGTAAATATGATGGGCCATCTCTCTAGAAACATCTGTAAGGTTCGTAAGGTTTGTAAGAACCTACGAACAACTTTAGAAAGTTGATGGCCCACTCTAGACACAGAGATTTGACAAGACTGCTCAAACTGTCCACAGAGCCAGGGACGGGAGCTCATCATCTGACGCCCAGTATAACAGTGCTGTATTTAACTGTCAAAATGTAACCCATTTGGTGATCTAGTCTAAGAAAGAAAATACATGTAAGAAGCAACGGTTTTCTTTTTACCTGACTGCTCTTCCAATATTAAAGATCATGTGAAATTCACTGAAAAGCGCCTTCAAATCTCAAAGGAAATGGTGGCTTAGAATATTAATCCACGTTACATTCAAAAACAGCACAATATTAAAAGTTCCAGGTTTTACAGTACTTGCAATGCTTATTTTTTCTCTGGTAATCATGTTCTGTCTGATGTGGTGATCTATGTCATAATAAAAAACTGATCAATTAATCACCTATCACTCATATTTCCAGAAGAGCAACAAAGAGTATTTTATCTTGATGGCAATTATTTGAATATACTGCTAAATACATGACTACTTACTGATCTAATTCCAGGTAAATTCAAGAGGGACCCAAGGACTGGCACTCTTCTGATAAAGCCAACGACCACAGGAAAGAAGCCCCTGGGAGAGAAGAAAAGTTCTTAGAACCAACACATTCTCTGTTACCGAATCAATCTCTAACCAGTGACAAAGAAAGAAAAAGGATTCTGCCCAAATTTTGAAAGTTGCAGATACTTCAAACTTCAGCTAATATTTCTTCTGTCTCCCGGAGCTTGACACCTTCCTTTAGTGTGCTCCTGTGTTACTCCGCATATACACGTTCAATAGCATTGCTACTATATTCTGCTGGTATGGGTACGGATGGTTTCCCATAGTACAAATGAGCGATTCTCAAACATGGATTTGATACTTCATTCATTTTATGTCTCCTGTGGGTAATATGGTTCCTGGCAGATAGAAGACAAAAGATCTCTAGCCCCTGAATAAATAGTTCAATAAATTTGACTTGCACACCATTGTTTATTCACTAGGAAACTGGCATTTGTAAAACTTTAACTGATCAAAATCTCTGGTGCCATTATTTTGAACATAATTTCATAACAGGCATATGCACTTAAGGCACTGTTATCATGTGGCAATAACTGCGGTATCAGATTCTGTATATTAAAGTGCTATCTATGTACCCATCAATCAATAAAGACATTGACTTAAAATGCCAATGAAATGAGTGTTATGCATTGAAAATACTTTACAAGATAATTTACACCCTTACATAGGCAGTTGGCACCTAATGAACATTTTTGTAGCTGACGGAATTATCTACAACTGTCATAAAAGATTCAACATAAAAAATCCATTTAAGGGCCTCCCCGGTGGCGCAGAGGTTGAGCACTGGGTTGCGAAGCTGCCCACAGCCTCTGCAGCGCCAGTTCGATCCCCGGCTGCTCCCCGGCCACCGGAGGAGGGTTCCACATGGCGCGCAGACCTCTCCTGCCGCCTGCTGCTCCCCTCAGCAGTGTACTTCGGTCCTTCTGCCTGCTCTGCTCCCCGCTCTGGCTCTGGTGAATTCTCTTACCCTCCCGCGCTTCTGACTGTACCCAGTGCTTGTATGTATAAATAAATAAATAAATCTTTAAAAAAAATCCATTTAAGAAACAGTCTTCTTACACTGATGTAAATATCTTGAGTTTTTGTCATAACTATTTGACACAGTGTTTATTGAAAGAGAAAAGACGGAATGAAGCCTTACCTGAACAAGAGAAAAAATCCATAAATTTCAAAGATCATGCCTATCAAAGGCCAACCAACAAGGACTACAAATACACCTCCCAGGAAAAATCCTGTAGCTTTCATTTTATGTTTCTGGAAGAAGAATCTGAATGTCCTTTCCAAACCTATTACAAAAGCCAAGCCAGCCACAAATAACACCTAGAAGAAAAGCCAACACAGAAAAAGTAGTTAAACACGCTGCATAGATTTGAAAAGTAAGGCCAGAGCTAAAGATAATGGGAAGAAGCAAGGAGTGAACTATGTGTTTTGTTAAAGCTGCAGTTGTGTTCCTGCCTTCTAGCCCAGTCCGATTTTGATTAAGTGGAGAAAAAAAGAAACGAAGACAGATTAGATGTTACTGGTGGGCACCTGCGCCTGCAGCGGTTTCCCCAGGTTTTGCTGGTGGGCACAGCTTAGTCAAGTAGATGTGCGGCGAGGAATAAAGAGGGAGGCTGCCCATAAATATGTCACTCCTAGGTGGGCATGCTTCTGATCAGAGAAACCCTGCTTCATCATGGGCTATGGGAGTTCACATAGAGGGCAGAAATACAAATATGGCCAAATGTTAGTAGAAGAAACTGCAAAGCGAGGAAGAAGATTCTAGTTTTCTACTGATAACTTAGTGGCAGCCGCAGTAAAAATAGTCATGCCTTCTCAAATGTACATGTATTTGGTATGTTTCCAGCATAAGCAACACTGAGCAATTAAAAGCTTGCTTTTCCCAGGTTTTATTCCCAAATCACATGCCATTCTTCATTAATTTTCTTTACTGAAAAATATTTCCCACGATATTTATCAAGCTTAATGATTACGTTTCATATTCTGAGATACCAATGCTGTTTATATTCTTATTTATGAAACATAAATTCTGGATAATTTGGTTATACTTTATATTTTCCAATTAAAAGCACAATGGTAATATACACTTCAAAAGGTTTTAATCATTATCCAGTAACTTTATGGTCCTCTTAGAAGGTTTATTATCTGTTTCAAGAACTCTGTACAACCTCCATGCACGGACAACAGAGTATACATTCCAAATAAAAATATACACACCTTTTTAAGCAAGTCAACCATTAATACAGAGCCATAATTTTAAAAGGTTTAAACAATTTTTTAAAAATCTGTTAATTTTATGCTGTTGAATCAAATGTGAAAACACAAATGTTTAAAGTCAAAACATATTAACAAATTTGCCAAATTATGGGGGCTTTATAACCATCTATTTTGAATTCCCATTTAGAGGCACACTTCATTTAATCTTTGTAAATCACATACCAAACACTTCATAGAGTAGTTATGCAATTAGGACTCTCATTAGCATTTATCTCATATGTAAACAGAAAGGTTTTGTTTCTGATGGAAAAAGGGAATGTTATAGAAATCTTCACATGAGTAACAGTGAATTATTTCCCCAAAAGTTAATAGCAGGCAATACTCATTTATAGTTAAAATTTCCTGATGAATTTAGTTAAAATATATACTGAAACACTCACATTTCCAATAGCCAGTAGAGCTTTGTCAAAGAAGAGAATCATTCCAAAGAACAGGAAAAACACTCCAAATCCTGTTAGCCCCATTCCAATTTCTGCAAAAGAAGTTTTATGGTTAAAGACAGAGAAATATAAGTTACATTAAGATCTCTTTAAACAAAGTAAGAAATTATTTCTGTTATCTTTTGGCTGATGTAACAAAATAAGTCTCCAACACTACAGGTTAACTTCATAGCAATATTCATTAAAATTTCTAACAAACTAAATTAACATCAGCAAATTCTCTCAAAATTAAAATGTGAATGGAAATTTCTTGGGTTTTTTAATATTTTGGAAATTTGTAATCCTTGTATAAGACAAGGATTTCTCACAAACATACTCATAACAGAGGGCGATAAACCAGGACTCTTAAACATTTGGTTATGTATACATTCCTTCCCAAGAAGTCCTCTGACATCGGCCATAAATACATGTATGGGCTTATTCGTCTTTCCTATCTCTGACTATCACTTCTATCACTTCTTTCCCCTTTTAAAACTGATTCCTTCTTTAAGTCATTAGAGATGCTATCGACGACGGTCAGCACGACATGCTTCTCTCAGTTACAGTTTCTCATCATGGCAACAGGAAACATTTCCAGAATTGAGTGGCTGTCTCCTCACTAATTTTCAGGTTAGGAAACACTGTCACCTTATGATGGCCCACTGTAGGTTTCTCTTTGTATCTAAATGTATATATCTAAACTAGGAATGTATTCATCCACTAGTCTAAAAGTCCCACAACCATCTCTCCAAAGTTTCAAAGAACATTGTTTCAGCTAATACCAATATTCTGGATTTTCATTCATTCAAAAACAGAGAATTACTGATCATGTCCGACATGCTGGCCAGGGTAACAGCTACTGAATATGCAGAGGGGGACAGAGCATCAGCTGAGGTCTCTGTTCACCAAATATATGAAAGCAATAATTTCATGGACTTTACATTCTCTGAGACTTATCTTTTTTAGCCTGGAGAGTCTTAACTTTCTAAGGTCATAGCTGTTCTTTTCTTCTAATGCCACACAGCACAATTCATCTTATCACTTTCTTGGTCTTTTTAGATTTGTTTTCATGAAATAGTCAACAATCTTTGTTTTATCTGGTGTAATAGCTGCAGAAAATAATGAACCAGAGCAGAAACCATCATATTTTTGGAAACACAATGATTTCTGACCCATTACTTAACTTTTTTGCCTCGGCTTCAGAAAGCCAAATCTAGGTCATAGCTATTTAATTTTTTTTCAAGCTGTATAAATGTTCTGATAAGTTGAAAATTTCTCTTGTATACCCTTTTCTATCTCCTCCACTTCCTCAATTTACAATTAACTACTGCTTTCCATTCTAGCTTTTTTCCCTCCTCACTCACTCTAAAGAATTCAGGTACCTGCCTATAAATACGCTGATGTGTTTTTTCCAAAAGATTTTATTTATTTATACAAGAGCTATGGTACAGGCCAGAGGCGTGGGAGGGTGAGGATTCACCAGAGACAGAGCGGGGAGCAGAACAGGCAGACGACCGAAAACACTGCTGAGGGGAGCAGCGGGCGAGACAGGAGAGGTCTGCCACGCCATGTGGGTATCTCCCTGGCAAGCCGGGAATCGAACCTGCACTGCTGCAGAGGCTATGGACAGCTTCACAGTGCTGCGCTCAACCCACTGTGCTACCACCGGGGAGGCCCACACTGATGTGTTTTACAGATGTAAATCCCTATGAGAACTTGAAGTTGATACTTCATATTTAAATGACTTAGGAGAATTTACCAAAAAAAAAAATTTAGGTGTCAGACAATTTCCCAGAGGAAAATACGGATGAAAGAACAAGTAAAATTCCATGAAATAACTATTGACCAGTAAGGATTTAATTATTGGCAGCTGAGTTATTTGAATATAACTAATTTTTATCTTTTCACAAATGATCCTAAACATATTGAGGTATTTACTGATCAGAAGGGAATTACATGGAAAAGTGTGTGTTGAGAATTTACCGCAAGTTAGCCATTATGAGAAACTTTACATGCCTTATATAATGCAATCCTCCTGAGACTGCAGTGAGATGAGTTTCATTACCTCATTTTAGAGGTGGAGGAAACTGAGTTTTACAGAATTGACTTACTTTGCCTTAAGTCACACTTCTGGTTAAGCATTTGAACCTACGTCTATTTGAATACAAAGTCCATGTGCATAACCAAATGCATACTGCTTCTTACAGGATGTTTTTTTTTCCTAGGTTAAATGTTTGATTAAATGAAACTCAAGGACACTGGAATATACAGATCTGGGCAAAACATCTTTCAGTGATTCAAGTTTCAAAAGATTAACTTGTGATCTAACATAACTCAGAACTATTAAAAATTGTGTGCAGTGAAAAAGGATGTGTGAATATAATTTTACATTTAACTAAGTATTTCTATAAATATCTTAATTCCTGTAACACAGCTGTAAGGTAAAGAATAGCACCAGTCCTATGTTTTGTATGGCCAATCAAAGACTCAGATTAAGCAACTACACTTAATCATAGAATCAGCAAGAGTGTGTGTGTTTTAGGGGTGGGGTAGTGAAAGGCAGGGTAATGGTGTGGAATGAGGCTAGACTTCAAGTACAGTCTTCAGACTCCACAGCTTATGGCTATAATTTGAGATCAAAATACTTCTACTCTTTATCCAGTGCAATCTAGCATCAAACAGCTGCCTAGAACATTTTAGCCAAAATAGACAGTGATCAAAAGTTTCAAACAGGCCTCACTGTGTCATTTCCTATCTCCAGAATTCCCTTTTTCCCTATGTCAACACATTCATAAGTCCCCTGGTTGTTAATGCCCGACATAATACCACTCGCTCACCACCAGAATAATACAGAACAAATTACATTTACTCTCCTCTTGTGCGCTCTCAAACCTTCATAACTCTTACCTCGGTGTGTTTTAAAAGACAATTTGATAAAAGCAATCTAACAAATTTGTCTAACATAAACAGTGTAGTATGGAAATTTTATTGAGATATGTGCTTAATGCAATAGCAACTGCTGCTAACACTTTGATATGTTATTTTGAAAATTTGAAAGTGGGGCCTCCCCTGGCGGTGCAGCGGTTGAGCCTGGGCTGTGAGGATGCCTGCAGCCTCTGCTGCGCCGGTTTGTTCCCTGGCCGCTGGTAAGGGTCCCACAAAAAAAAAAAAAAAAAAAAAAAAAGAAAGTGGCATTATCTTTCTTATTATGCCTTACAAAATAGAAAATGTCATAATAAAGACCCTGAGTATCAATTCAAGTGAACTCAACTGAATACCCTGGTAGATTTTCAGGCAATGTAACATAATAAGGATTTGGAGGTAGTAGGGAAACTGCTCCACTCTTGTCCCCTTCAATAAATCATGCAAGTGTATTTTTTGGGATGGGGAGTACTATTAAAGAATCTCTTAAAAAAAATCAATTGCTATCTACTCTACCCTGATCAGTGCTTGCTTACTCTTTCCTGGATTCAGAAACCCAGGACAAGCTTGACTAATCACTTTGAAAGCCCATTACTGCAGTTAATCACACACACACACACACACACACACACACACTTGAAATCCATAGAACTTCAGGTTCACTATTTTGTGTTCCAATCCACTGTCCATCTAAAACACTGGACTAATAAGCAGCAAAGAGTATAATTTCATCTTCCTTAGTTTAATTAAGTGAGGAGAATACTTCCTTTCTGCCCATACTCAACATAATTATTTTGTTATGGATTTTGGAAGCATGTAAATCAGGCATTAATCCCTGTAAGAATCCAACAAAAGAAAATAATTATACAAAGAGGGTAAAGGTTTATATTTTTATATATGTAATCATCACAGAGTCAGATAAATAGGAGTAATAATAATTTACAGTTAGGAAATCTATGTGGAAATTAAATATTTCCTCTGAGCAATTACAAGAATTAGAAATAAATTCCAGCAATTTCTGTATACAATTTTGCTAATTTCTTTGCACAGTCCAACTTTAATTTGGGGCCTCAATTGAGAGTACTGTGTATCATAAGGAAAAGAGGCTCTGGATAGCATACACAATCTCCAAACAAAAAAATCAATGCATAATTTTACAGGATAAGTACCTACTAGTGAAACTATTTTTTGCTATGGAAGAAGTCCATCATTCTAACATCACAAATAAAATTTATATCAAGTCTTGTTAGCTGTGAATAGGGTATCACAAGGACAACAAAAGTGCAAAGACAACAAAGGTTTTTGAGCCAGCAGACCAGGGATCAAGCGACCAACAGATCTGGTTTCTGTCAGTTTCCTTCTGGGAAATGGAATTTCTTTTATTGGATTTTTTTTTTTAAGAACTGGGGTATAGGCCAGAGGTGTGGGAGGTGAGAGGATTCACCAGATACAGAGTGGGGAACAGAGAGAGAGACTGAAGTACACTTATGCTAAGGGGAGCACTGTGTAAGTCAGGAGAGGTCTGATGTGCCATGTGGGTAGCTCCCTGGCCCACCAGGGATTGAACTCCGCCACAGAGGCTGCGGGCAGCTTCACAGCACTGTGCCCCTTGCACCACCAGGGAGGCCCAGAATTTCTTTTAATATATAAAAGAGATACTCCTCTCAGCCTTACAGAGTTCTTATAAGAAATACAGGTAATTACATAAGTGCACTTGGTAAACTGAAAGATGCCTCTATACAATCACTAATTATTATAAGTAAAGAAACAAACAACAAAAGGACTATATTCATATTCTCTGATCAGAACAGGTGATCTTGTTCTGGATGGGCATCCTTTTTGGATGCTGACTCTGATACTGGGCATTTAGGTAATGGGCAGGTTATCCCAAGGTGCAGACTCGGTCGTTAGGAAGGAAGGGAGCCTTATTGAGGTGACAGTGGGTGCAGAATTTACAAACTTCAAGAAGATCAAGTCAGCAAGAGTTGAAACAATAAGACTCCATTTCCGGGACATTTTAAATAAAGTTCTATTTTCACTTCAACAGCCTGTTTGATTCTTACAATCTTGAACACACTTACAGTAAGTTAAGCAGAATCTGAAGGAAATGCACGGCAGATACAGGAACGCGAGAGGGCTGCCCAGAGATGCAGACACAAAAATCATTAAAATTAGCAAGTAGGGGTTGCCAACTAAAGGAGAGGCCAGGAAAGACATAGCAACGCTAAGTCTAGAGATAAGACAGGCCTGGATAACGTTGTGGCAGGCAGAGAGGGGTGCTAAAATAATAAAACAAAGCACAATATACACTATGAACCAAAGAAGCTACTTCACGGAACACAAAGTGGCTTTTTACTATTGTAGAAAGACTCCCGGGTAGCCGAGCAAAGTCGCTGCAAGGAATCTGGCAGGTCTCTCTCCGTGGTGGCAAAAGGCGAATATTCAAAACACTTCAGAGAAGGACTATTTTCGAGAAGAGCCTACCACAGGGGACGTTTAAAACAACTCGTGGAGGACCCTAAGTGTGCCCTGTGCAGAACCGTCCCCAGGAGTGGGCCGCGGGCACCGCGCCCCAAACTTTGTCTAAGGCCGTCAGCAAACAAAGCGACCGTCTCGGTGGGGAGAGGCGACCCCGGCGCCTAACCCGCTCCGCGAAAGCGCCCTTCTTCAGAGGGGACCCCCAGAAACCCCCAAAGAACCCCCCTCGAGGGCCAGGTCCGCCACTGCAAGGCCTCGCGTCCCCGCAGCCCGAGCTCCGTCTCGCAGGCCGCCGCCCCCGCGGGGAGCTTCATTCATTGACCCCGGCAGAGGGGCGGGCGAGCCCCAGCCCCAGCCCCGACGCGCGGAGCTCCCGGCGGGCCCCCGGCCGGGCAGGTGCTTACTCTGGGTGTCCGTTAAGGAGATCATGGCTGCGGCGTCGAGGGCAGAGGCGGCAGCAGCTCGGGGCACCCAGGGTGTGAAGCAAAGTCGGGAGGAATGAACCCGGGAAACAGCCCAGGCGAGAGCCGCCACGTCTTCCGGAAACACGCAGCCGCCCCCACCCCCAATCAAGGCCGCTTCCCATTGGTTCAACCGGCTCCCAAAATTCGCCAATCAACTGTGGTTTTGTTCGGTGACGTGCTCTGTGGCCACACCCCCTGACCAATTAGAGGAGTCACTTACTTGCCATTGGAAGACGGGCCCGACCCGGAAGGGTGGGTGCTCCGGGCCGGCGAGAAAGGGAAGCCTGGTGGCGGGAAGTTGGAGCCCGGGGAAAGCGGTGCGTAGCGGTCCTGGGTCCCGGGCGCCGGGGGTTGGCGAGCCGGAGGGGGCGGGTCAGGCTGGTGACTCTTTAACCCCTTAAGGAGACGTTCGGGGGTGACTCCTATTACCGCTTTGTGGGGCTCACCTTTTCTCGTCCTCCTTGGGGGCGAGGCCGGGTTGTTCTGATCACGTCCATCCCCCCTACTTGGCAGGGGGGATTGGGGGGTGTTAATCGTCGCCCAGGGCTCGGGGGCTCGGGCTTTGAGGGGCACGTTCTCCTGTCAACTCGTTTCTTCTTTTCTTCCTCCCCCCTGCAACCTTTTCCAAGCAGGAGACTTGATCCCTAAAGTTTATTTACTGGGAAACACCCCTGGGGATGCGGTACTTGTAAGCGAGGGTGTGATTAAATTGCAGGTGGCTGGAGAGGGGGGTGCGAGTGTCCTATTTAGTCTCCATGGCTTTGTACCTCAGTGGCATTTTCTCCAGGATCGAAAGCTGGCAGTCACCCCGTGAACATTTTCCTGTGAGTGCCTGGTTTATGCTTCTCACGGGTAGACCTACTGTCATTCATTTCTGAGCAGACTTTCTGTTGAGGTATCTTTTTTTACTTGTAAAGCTCATCCTGTGGGGAAGGAGCCGATGAGCACTTTTTCAGCGGCATAATCAAAGTCGTTTCAAACTGTGGGGGAAATTGTTAAAGATGCTGCTCTTTCCTAAGGGTAGGGAGGGCCGCTGCTTTCCATTGCATCAAATCTGAGTCTACTTTATGCCGGGCGCTTGGCGAGACTATGTGAATGCAAAGATGAAGAGACTTACTGTCTCCCCTGCAGGAGAGAGCTTTACAGTCTAGAGAAGGATACCTTGATTTCCACGCAGTGGTGAAGAAATGTTTAGAAGAATTAAAGTCCTTGCTTTACTCTCCTACTTGAATAATCTTTAGTTGTAGGGTTATTCTAAACTCCTTAGCAAGGCAAAAACAAAAACAACAAAATAAGCTCTCTATCTTTCTAGCCTAGTGATGGCTCCAGAATTCTACATAGGAAGAGTGATGACGAAGCTGTGTTTGGAGAACATTCTAAGTTAGTTTTAGAAAATGTTGCAAAATGGGGTAGGAGTTCACTGGGTTTATGGGTAATCTGAACTTCCTACCCTCAAACCGCATTTCCTATTACTTTCTTATATGTACTCTTCACTTTTAGTCATCCACAGGATATTTAGAGTTCTTTTAAAAACGTTTTATCCCTGTTGTTCATATTTTCTCCTTCTTGAAAGCAAACCCCTCCATACAATACCATTTCTCTTTTAACACCGAGCAAATGCTCAATAAAAATGCTAAAGGATTATTTTGAGCATGTTAATGGGTTTCGCTTAATCTGGGGCACTGGAAGCTGTCCATCTTATTATTTATGATAAAGTCCAGTTTTCAGCTAGGGAAAAAGGTTGAGAAAGGGGGTGTGTGTAATTTTGCTGCGGTCACACAGTAGTTGAATATTCAAACTGTTGAACCTCAAAGCTTTACTCATTTCTTACTACATCACTTTGAATTTGGTGGATGTTTCAGTGTTACTGACATTGTACTTGTTATTATCTACTTATGTGACTTTCGAGGCATCTCTAAAATCTGGAACCTTACCAAAAAACAAGCATTTTTTTTGGGGGGGGGGCTGCTAATTGGAAAGGTAACTGCAGTAGATAATCTACTTTCTAACATTTCTAACATTTTTTTATGCATAGTGGTGACAGATTATTGTGATTGGGGAGGTTATCTGTGGTACTGATTTTAAAATTTGTTGATTTTTTTTTTCTCCAGAAAGAAATTTGGATCTCCAGTTCAATTTTAGAATGGCATCTGTTTCAGGTCAGTGGAAAAGCTTACTTATATTTTGGAGATCTACTTCCAGTTACATTTTTGAAAAAAATATTACTTTTCTCTGTACCTTCCCAATTTTGCTGTGACCTTTAAACTGCTCTAAAAAAAGTCTTGATACAAGCACCAAGGACATTTTTAAAAACGTTATAGCTTCTGTTGATGTAGCATCAAAACGAATTTCACTTTGACTTGAATACTAGGGTTGATTAGAATTATATGTTAAGGCATATTAATAAATTAGTCACAATGGGCTTGTAATGTCAATTCCAATAGCACCATCAATTTCTCTTTTTATGTGTTACATCCTCTTGATTATAATCACCAACTCCTTATTGTGCCATCATGTGAACCCAAATATGAATGTTTTTGTGAAATAATAACTAAGTAGCTAGGGACTTAGTTTTAAATAGCTCATTTTTGTTTGAGTCTGGTCACATTACTTAAGTGATTTAGGAGATTGTGAGACTGTTCCCCAACATAGTAAAATAATAAAAATAAAAATTATCTTTTATCAAATGCTTAACTGTGTACTAGGTAGTCATGAATTTCCAGTATGTTATCTCACTTAATTCCTTATAACAGTACTTTGTGAAAGCGAGGTAGTATCTCCATTGTACAGGGGGAAAGTTGAGCATTAGTTAAGTACCTTTGCCTGAGGTCACTCAGCAGGTAAGAAAGATTTAGCTCAGGTCTGTTCCACTCTAACATACCTGTTCTTAAGCACTCTGCCATCCTATTTTTGTCTTTGTTCTTAAGCACTCTGCCATCCTATTTTGTCTATAATTTAGGTGGTAAGGAATACCCAAAAATTAACAAAAGAACCCTGAAAGTGTAATTGTCTATCATTGTATCTTTTTCTTTCCTCATAGCTTTGACTGAGGAATTGGAGGCTATAACCAGTGAGCTACATGCAGTGGACATTCAAATTCAAGAGCTTCTGGAAAGACAGCAAGAGCTTATTCAGAAGAAAACCCTCCTGACAAATAGAATAAAGCAAAGTTTAGAGGATTCGGATGCTGGGGAAAGCAACGAATGTGATTCTTCACCTGCTGCTTGGAATAAAGAAGGTTTCCTTTTTTTTTTTTTCCTTTGCTAGTTTTGTTTCATAGTTCCTTATATTGGAATTAAATCATTCTGCCTTGGCCTGTACTGAAAGCTGTTATCAGTGAAACTAGCCATTCCTTAAGTGGAACAGGAATCTAGCAGGCAGACCATCTCTTTACCCATGTTTTATCTGAATCAATCTCTTTCTATACAGACTTTATTGTTTTTTTCCAAATTGGTCCTAATAGCATTAGTCAACGCTTGGAAAAATAAGTTATTTAAGTTTTAACTAAAAACAATAAACAAGAGAAAATTATTCAAACTCTTTGCCAAAGTCTAGTTCATTCTCCCTAGAGAGCAAACTCTCTAGAGAGATCTTGATTCAAGGTCTTGCCAAGCATCGTGTCTGTTGTAAATTACAGTGGAAAATTCTCACTCTATCTGGGCAGTGCAGTGCTTCTGTAGGCCTTGTTTTCCAGTGATTCACTTCTCAATGAGAAATTTATACCCAAATTCCAGATAATTGTTAACTTTGTTTATGATATTTGAGATTTATTTTTAACGATACTATGAATTCCATGATCAACACTCGGACTGTTGTTCAAATGGCCCATCAGTCACCGACTCTTTTGGGTAGATTGGTTCTCAACTGGCAAGTGTTTCCAGTTTTTCTACATGTAATCTTTCTTATGATATATCATTAACTTTGTTTTTGTTTAGCTTGGTGAGTTAAACTGATTTCAAAATTCTTAGAATCAAAGTTTAACTTTGTCAGTATTAGAAAAAGTCTTACATATGTTTGTTTCAGTCTTTCTTATAAAAGCAGCCATTTTGGGTCTCCTTGGTGTCCTAGGGATTAAGTCTCAGTGCTACCAACACAGTGGCCCACTTTGATAGCTTGAATTCGATCCCCAGCCAGGGAGCTATCCACATGGCACAGCAGATCTCTCTTCTACCCGCTGCTCCCCTCAAGACTGTATTTCAGTAGATCTGCCTGTTCTGCTCCCCACTCTATCTGGTGAATCCTTACCACCCACCCACCCCGGACCTCTGGCTTGCACCCCAGTTCTTCACATAAAAATAAATAAAATCTTAAAAAAAAAAAAAGCAGCCATTTAAATGTATGTCTCAGCTATATTCCTAAATAGTTGTGATATTTTCATCTTATTTCTTTTTCTAGATTTTCCATGGTCTGGCAAAATTAAAGATGTTCTACAAAATGTCTTTAAACTGCAGAAGTTCAGACTCCTTCAGCTTGAAACTATTAATGTAACCATGTCTGGAAAGGACATGTTTCTTGTAATGCCCACAGGGGGTGGAAAGAGCTTGTGCTACCAGTTGCCAGCATTGTGTTCAGATGGTATGTATTAATACACATTCATTTTAAATCTAAGAAATCTTAGTTAGTGCTTTTACTATATTTATAAGTCTTTAAAAAAAAAAATCCTAACCATACTTGTGTAAGACTCAAGTGCGTTCTTAAATTGTTTTTAATATTAAAGGCATTATTACGGGGTTCCCTTAAAGAGGGAAGGGAAACATTTCTGAAAGCAATTAATGCTTTTATCTGGTCCCCAAAATGACAAAAAATCATGTTAGAGGAGAAAAAACAACTAGAAAAGGATTCAGTAGTCCTCGATTGTGGTTCGTCTTCATGGGGTTGAAGACAACCACCTTGTCTCCTGTGGTTTTAGGCACTGGAGTTACAGGTGTGGGCAAAGTGCTCTCGGTCCCAGCTCACAGAACTCTTGGAGCAGCGCTCTCTCCCCCTGGAGAGCTGATAAACTTGCACACTTAATTCAGTGTAGGGCCCACTAGCTTGCATTTCAGCAGGCTCTCCAGTGATCCCGATGTTGGGGGGAGCCTGGGGTACACAGCAGGGGTCAGCA